AGGCTTTGGAGCATCTTCCCTTCCTCTGCTTCAAATCTAAGCACCATGAAACTTGTTCCTGTGCATTGTCCAGGAGTCTGTTCAAAATGAGTTGATTCAGCCATCGGGATGTGTCTGAAGATGAATATCTGCATCATTGGAATCATCTTCCCAACTGGCGTGCCTGAAAGGCAGGCGATCGGAAGGGCTGTGAGAGGAGGATAAATTATACCTTTAGTCCTTCATAGCCTGAATAATGGAGCTTAATTGCATTTTCCCTGGCAGTACATGGAATTCCCATAGCTGTTTTAATTTATGATCAAGGCTATGCTTGCAATGCAGACTGATCCATACTTGCTGTTGAGGTGGACAAGTGTCACCAAGGTCTTTGCTGCTTTTTCAGTGTTTGTGTAAACTGAGGCACCCAGAGCAATCTGTGGCTTCCGATTGAGTATATCTAGGTAAAAGTTGTAGCCTGTCAACAACTCTGTGGTCAGTGCAGTAGCCAAACACATAAACTTCTTGGGCATTGTGTGAAGAATTCATACATGTTCTGTAGGATTTTCTGCAGCACGTCTATGCTGTCATTTAGGAATCCAGGCTTTTTGGTAGATATGACCCACAATGGCAAAATTAGGGGGAAGAGTTCTTGGGAACCCACACCAGGGTGGGGTTTGGAGACAGATGGCGATGGGGGATTTGCTTTCTGATCCTCCTGCTCTTGTTCTTTGGATAACTGGGCGTTGTTTGCTTGAGGTTTTCCGGTCTCATTTTCTATTAGCACCAAATTCTCCACTCATTTATTACACTTTTGTCCAGTGTGTTCTTGGTTTCCAAAGAAAAGCAGCCAGTAACTAAGCATGTAAGCGCTATGTTTTTGCCTGCTCAGCAGTGGAAATGCTGGGTTTTGAAAACCGCCTACTAATTTTAGGAGCCGAAAGGCTCCTGAATTCTGAACCTTGTGGTATGTTTGTTTTAAAGACAGAGGAGTTAGCAAAAGAACTTCACTACTTCTTTGCTTGAGGACTTTTTTTATTTCTTTTGTTTTAAACCATCTCAGAAAGCTTTGAGTGTGAGGAAATGAAGGTATGGAGCTGTAGTAAATACCTGTTTTTTCTTGTTAGCAGACTTAAAAACAACATCATTGGTTAGTGTAGTAGTACAGCTTAACCTTGTTCCTGGTCACATCTTGACCATCTTAGATACCTTTTGAGGTATCTAAGTGGTACCTCAAAAGAAAAATCTGGTGGCAGACAAGCAGCTTGATTCAAAGCATGGCTGTGTAAAAGTAAATATTTACTAGGAAAATAAAATGCATATGGAGACTTGGAGTTTGAAAATCAGAGTGAAAATAGCCAAGTCAAATAGTTTCAATTTTCATTTTCATATCAGATGCTTTTCTAGCACATTTTCCCAGAACACCTCTGCATCATTTAGTATTACTTATAATGTCACCTGTAGTGCCTTTACCACACAAATCAGTCACTGCTGGAGTTACTTGGGTTCTTTGTGGACTTGTGAGGTTGGTGCCTCCAGGATTTGGATGTTTCACAGTGTGCTAGTCCACTGGGTAAGTGGCTGGTGCTTCTCTCTTTGAAAAAGAGGATCAGAAACAATTAAGAGCTTTGGAATGACAAACTCACCTTCATGGAGCTTTAATTTTCCAAGATACTAGTTTTTTAATACATACAGAGGATAGCTCCCACTGGCCTCAGTTGCCACCAGTGGTGTTTACCTGTGTGAATAAATTTGACATACAAAAAATGCAAGCCAGGCTTATTGAAAAAAAAACAAAACCAAAAGTCCTGGCATTGACAGCAATGGGATGATGTTCTCCAAGCAGTGCTCATTGCTGTGAGACCCTTCTTTTTGTCCTCCACCTCTCATTCACTTCACATCCTCCAAATGCTTGGCCACATGAGCAGGGATCTGGTCCTGTACTACTCAGATCCAGAGGATGTGCTGAGTGAGAGAAATTTTGTTAAGAGGGGTGGAAGAATATACAATGATATATACATAATATATGTATATACCTTGAATTTTCTGTAAAAAAATGTTTTCATTCTAATACCTGCTCTTTTTTCTACAGCAAACTTCAAAAATAGTTTGCAGTACTGATCCACCCACATGAGTGATAAATGCAGATTGCTGCCATTTTAGCAATTAAAGTAACAAAATAATGACAAATTATCATTTTCTGAGAGCTTGCTCTTGTTGGGAAGGAGTTTGTCAGCAAGCCTGTCACGCTTGTTGATAGCAAAGGGATGGCAGGATTGGGAATTTGGGGTGCAGTTCCTGCTCTGAAGGTGTGAATGCTGTAATTGTTTTCCACCTATCCCCCAGAAAGAGCTTGTCTGTGTTTTTTACCCCTTCTGCCCTAGGCCATGCAGCCTGGCTCTTCCCAGCCCCTTGTCCAAATAGCTTCTTCCCTCCACCGTTTAGACCCTCATTGCACCCATTTTTAATTCCCACTGCTGCTTCCTAATCCCAGTGCCCTTCTCTTGGCTCAGCACTGTGCTCCCAGCCAGCCCTTTTCTTCTCTCCAGATTTCCAGAGGGTTTCTATCACATCATTTTTACATTTCCCAGTCTTCCTGTGTTTTCCCTCCATCTCCTCTTGGCTCTGGCTCTCCCTCAGCCAGAACTGGACATCTTCTCCATCAGCTACCACAGGGGAAGCCGAGACCCCCGTGGCGACTCATGATGTGGAGCAGTCTCCAGGAGGCTTTGCTATCAGCTGTGACATTGTGGAGGTGGCACATAGAATCATGGAATGGTTTGGGTTGGGAAGGATCTTTAAATGCTATCTAGTCCAACCCTCCTGCAAAGAGCAAGGATATCAACAAAGTCAGGCTGCTCAGAGCCCAATCCAGCCTGGCCTTGAATGTTTCCAGGGATGGGGGCATCCACCACCTCTCTGGGCAATCTCTGCCAGCGTCTCAACACCCTCATAATAAAAAAATTCTTCCCTCTATCTGAATCAACCCTTTTGTAGTTTAAAACCGTGGCAGAATTCTTTGCAAAAGGGGATTTCACTGTGGATGGCTCAGGCAGACCACTGTGTACTAAGCAGCTGCAAGAGGATGAAATGTTCTCAGCAAGGCTGTAATCTGAAGTTTTAATAACTAACAAAAGTCTTAAGTGTGAATAAACTGATAATTTGTATCTTCTCCCCCTGGAGCATATAGCTTGGCCAAATTCAGGCAGATTTTTATATTGTGACAACATATCTAAGACATAAGGCTTTCTCCCACATGTGTCTCCTCAAAGATTTTGGAAGAGAAACTTCTATATGAAAAAATAATAATCTGCATACATGAAAGCTTTTTCTTAGCCTCATTTTTGGACCCATTTTGGCTGAGCTTTTCTGTGGAGGAGGTTAAAAAAGTAATCAGTCCAAGGTTTCAGAAGAAAGTTTTGCCATTGCTGGTTGAAATGTGTCAAAGTTTGAAATAGCCTGACACGCTCTCATGGTGGGAAGTTACATCCAGCAGGTTAATACAGCATCCGGAGGGAGGATGCCAAGGCTTTCATTAACATGAATAACCTTATACACTCTGTTTTAATACCAACATATGGTACTACTGTGGTAGAGACCAAGGACATGTCAAATCCAAAACCTTGCCATCCTGCTCAAGCAGCCTCATGCTCCACCCTTTTTTCCCTGAATGGTGGCATTGCCAGTAGGTCCTTGTTGAATGTCAGGATCCACGTGCTGAAAGCTTTGCAGGAGTTCATCTGTCACAAGGAGAAACATCTTTTACCATTTTCAAAGAAGAAGACTTGGAAAAGACGAGTTTGTGTGCTGTCACTCATTGTTCCCACCATCTGTAAATGACCCCATCTGCAGGTGCCTGCAGATAGTTTGTGACCACCTGTTTTGTACAGGCTTGCTGCTTGTATTGCTGTTTTTCTGTAGGAGGATACAATGGAGTATATATCTAGTGTAAAAAAACCCACAGTTAAATAAAATATTTATAACTTACCACTTTATGAGGATGGGGAAGTTAACATGAGCTGTTCTGAGCCTTTTCTTGTCATGATGGCAGCTCATACCAAGAGGCCAGTGGTGCCTTAGGTGGCATCATCTCATTTTTTCATTGGTTTTCACTCTTAGAAAGTTGAAGTTAATTCTTTATCATTATGCAGCTGCCATTCTTAATACAATAGATTGAGTTACATTTAAGCACCTAATGAATTGCCTCAAATCCAAAACACGTTACCACTTGGAAGATTATGAAGTGCACTTTCATTATTACTTGATGTCAAGAGCTTTGCTGTTTTTTCACAGAAACATCTGAAATCACCCAGTGACACAGACAATAATCAGTTTCTGTAAAAAGATGTGGAGTTGTTTCAGAGGTTCTCTACTTTCAAAGCCAGTGCCTTGCAAGTTAGTAAAAAGAGAGATGAATTCCATGCAATGAGTTGCATTTCTGCAGTGGACATCACTGGGCCAAACCAATCTGAGAATTATTATGGCAGGGTGCTAGCCTGGAGTTCTGGGTGTGTAGGGTTGGGTTGAGAGGAGAGGAGCAGCTGCTGTTCAGATGCTTGTCATCAGTGTAGTTCAACCCAAATCTCAAGGTTCCTGTTGCCAGACAAGATCTGGTGCTGTTGGTGATCCATAGGAACTGCTGTGTGAGTTGGCAGTAGGGAATATTGCTGGGTGGGGTGAGCATGTTCTTTTCTTGAGAGCTTGGGAGCCTTTCCACCGTGGCAGTCCTTTGTGGAATGAAGAACGGGGACTTAATGCTAGGTTTGCTGCTTAACAAGCCAGGCAACGCCTATGACTTGCGAATTCAACACTAATTGTGGAATTTAATTTCTCTACCCATTTTTCCCCCTAGGAGATGTAAGCTGTTAGGAAAATAAGAAGAAAAATGGAGCATTTGTGTGTGTATTGTGTTTAAATTTTGGACATTTGAAAGAGTGGTTGCAAATCAATCCATGCATTTCATGGAGTCATAAAATGCCCTTTAGTGTATATTATTTGCTCGCCTGTACTTTATTTGTACAAACCTCTTACAGTTATTTGCATTGTTTGCAATAACCTTTCAAAATGTTAAGAATCCTCATTACTGCTTTATGTTTTTCATTTCAATTAGGGTGTTCTCTATACCCTCTTCTGGTTCCTCACCCCCTCAGCCTGTGCAGTTAGAACAGATTATGTGTATCAGTAAAGGTTTTACAAAGTGAGTCGTGACTTGGTGTTGGCCACACTTGGTGAAGTTTGTCTTTAATCAAACGCACACCTCCTGTATGCACTGCATTTCTTCTGGATATTTTTTGTTAATATAAGCCATGATGTTTTCTTTCTCTTTTCTCTTGAGGACGAGTTAGTCCTTTCACATAGAGCAACCCTCAGCATGGCATACCTTTCTCTCTGATCTTTTCCAAGGCTTCATTTCACCGTGGCTCCACCTCTGGCTTGCTGGCTCTCTCAGTTCTCCATTGCTGAGTTTTTCTTTGTCCGGTTTCCCATCTACGTGTTTTGGTTACATTTCAGTGCTCTGAACGAGTGGTTTTGAGAGCAGTTGGAGGCACGGCGTGCACCACTTCCTGCCTCTGCAGTCCCTGTGGCTGTCACGCAGCTCGCCTGGTCACCATCTGCAGCAGGCTCGAACGTGGGACGTGCCACCACAGCCGGGCTGCCCTCTGCTTCTGAGAAGGCGTTTGAGTTTGCAGTTCCTGGTTTGCAGGACCCCTTGCAGAGAAGGTTGAGATGGTCCCTCAGCTGCCACAAAGAGCAAAATGTGTGGAGTAGCTTTGTGTGGGTGCTCTGTTGTCTCTTTATTTCCTTTCATGGGGAGGGAAAGACCAGTTTGAGCCTGGCTTGGTTTCCAGTGTGCGTTGCATCATGTGCCCGTTGGACTGACAGGTAAAAAGGCAAGTTGAGACTGAAGAGTGGTTTCTGACAGCCAGCTTACCTTGTATAGATGTTGACCTGGGGCCATTGTACAGAAGTCTACCCTGTGAAGTTTTTGAAGTTCTGCATTCAGAATTCATATCTGAAAACCTTGGCTGTAGGACTTTGAGATACATGTGCTAATTTATATTCTAGCAGCTCTGATTGACATGTATGCTGGTTATGTTTATTAGTTTACTAGTCTTGTAAATCTAGTGGTGAGCACATGGAATTATGGATGTTTTCACTGTTTCAATATTCATAAGTAGTTACCAGCAGAGATCTCCAGACAGGAAGCTGTACCACAGACTGGCAGAATAGGAAGATCTAGAGAGAAAAGAGATGGCAGTTCCTCCCTACATTTAAGTAGGCTTTGGGTTTTGTGCTCATGATTTAACAGATACCTTTTTCTTTATGCAGGGCTGTAATCGAAGTACAAGATGGCAAAAACCAGCCATAGCAACTATGTCCTTCAGCAGCTAAACAAGCAAAGAGAGTGGGGCTTTCTGTGCGACTGCTGCATCGCTATCGATGATATTTATTTTCAAGCACATAAAGCAGTCCTTGCTGCCTGCAGCGCCTATTTTAGGATGTTTTTTATGAACCATCAAAACACTACAGCCCAGCTGAATCTAAGCAACATGAAGATTAGCGCTGAATGCTTTGATCTTATTTTACAGTTCATGTATTTAGGAAAAATTATGACAGCCCCTGCCAATTTTGAGCAATTCAAAGTGGCCATGAACTATTTACAGCTGTATAACGTACCTGAGTGTCTAGAAGATATACAGGATACAGACTCATCTAGTTTAAAATGTTCATCTCCTGCTTCTAGCACCCAGACTAATAAAATGATATTTGGTGTGAGAATGTATGAGGACGCACTTGCTAGAAATGGCAGTGAAGCAAACAGGTGGGGCATGGAGCCGCCAAGTTCAACGGTAAATACATCCCATAACAAAGAGCCTGAGGAAGAAACTTTGCAGCTCAACAGCTTCCCCGAGCAACTGTTTGATGTCTGCAAAAAAAGCACCACGTCCAAATTCTCTCACACGAAAGAGCGCGTGTCACACTCGCGCCGGTTTGGAAGGAGCTTCACCTGCGACAGCTGCGGGTTTAGTTTTAGCTGTGAAAAGCTACTGGATGAACACGTGTTAACGTGCACCAACAGGCATTCCTACCAAAGTGCCAGGTACTACAGTGCTGAGAAAATAGACTTTAGTGAAAAGAACTCTACTGCTAAAATGATCTCCACACAAACAGAAAAATACAAGGGGGACTCGAATCACGCTGCGGACGATTCGTCATCTCCCGTGTCAAACATCACAAGCAGAAAAAGCAGCGTGGTTGCCTCTGAGACATCAGGTGAAGAAGGAAGTAGAGCCTCTGAGAGGAAGAGGATTATCATCAAGGTGGAGCCAGAGGACAATCCTACAGATGAGCTGAAGGATTTTAATATTATCAAGGTGGCAGATAAAGACTGCAATGAGTCTTCTGACAATGACGACCTAGATGATGAACAGGAAGAGCCGCTTTACAGATATTACGTCGAGGAAGAGATGAGAGAGAAGAGGAATGCTCGGAAGACTCTAAAGCCTCGTTTGTCCATGGATGAGGATGAAAGAAAATGTTTGAAAAGTCCACGGCACCTTAACAGCAAGGCTCCTTCAGTGCAGGAAGATGCGGAGAATGCTCCCTGTGAACTTTGTGGGCTAACAATCACTGAGGAAGATTTGTCCTCTCATTATTTATCCAAACACATAGAAAATATATGTGCTTGTGGCAAGTGTGGTCAAATACTCGTCAAAGGCAAGCAGCTGCAGGATCATGCACAGACCTGTGGAGAACCCCAGGATCTGACCATGAATGGGGTCAGAAATTCTGAGGAGAAAATGGACTTGGAAGAAAACCCCGAGGAGCAGTCAGAAATAAGGGACATGATGTTTGCAGAGATGCTAGAGGACTTCAGGGACAGTCACTTCCCAATTAACAGCCTTCAAAAAAACCAGTTATACAAGCATTCTTCCTGTCCTTTCCGATGCCCTAATTGTGGCCAGCGTTTTGATACTGAAAACCTAGTGGTTGAACATATGTCAAACTGCCTGGAGCAAGATCTGTTCAAGAACTCCATGTTGGAAGAGAACGAGAGGGATCACAGACGTAAACATTTCTGCAACCTTTGCGGGAAAGGATTTTATCAGCGTTGCCACTTGCGGGAACACTATACCGTTCATACCAAGGAAAAACAGTTTGTTTGTCAGACATGTGGGAAGCAGTTCTTAAGAGAGCGCCAGTTGCGGCTCCACAATGATATGCACAAAGGCATGGCCAGGTATGTCTGTTCCATTTGTGATCAAGGAAACTTCCGAAAACATGACCATGTACGGCATATGATATCTCACTTATCAGCTGGAGAGACTATATGCCAGGTCTGCTTTCAGATATTCCCAAATAATGAGCAACTGGAGCAGCACAGGGATGTTCATCTGTATACATGTGGAGTATGTGGAGCAAAATTTAATTTGAGGAAGGATATGAGATCTCACTATAATGCCAAGCATTTGAAAAGAACATAAGCATAAACATACTGTAAAGCATTAAGTTGGCAGCAGAGAGAACACCAAAGCAAAGCATAAGTATAGTAAAAAAATCTGAAAAGGAAAAAAAATTTGAAAATAAGTCTCTTTTTTATTATTTTTTTAAGACCCTCCTAACCATAGGTGTCTATTTAGGCTCATTAAGTATAAAGCTTTGAAAAGCATCATGTGTTTAATTATTACATTTTCACTGTTTCCTAATACCAGTTTCTGTTCTTAATTTTATTGTTTTACTACGTAGATATACAAATCATTATTTTTAAACTGTAGATTAAAAGCACAATGTTACCCCTTCACTGACTGCTATTAAACAGTTCTCGGATCCATGTCCGTAAGATGAGTGCTTTAATATTTCCATGTGTTGTTTCTTCATGTGAGAATTTTAGATCCCAGCGATTAATGTGCAAAGGCATAATTGTTCATAATCCCCAAATTAATTTTCAAAATGAAAAAAAACCAAACGAACCCAAACCAACAATGCCAAGAAATAATCCTTTGCGCTCTGACTCTGCTGTAGGGGCAGAGCTGGCTGTCCTGGTCCCCTGCTTCTTGGCTTTGTTGGGCGGTGCTTCCCAGGGGTGAGAGCACATAGGCTCAGTTAACCCTCGCAGGCTCGGGCTGCTGTGCACAAGGGGGAAGGGAGTTAATGACTGGCGGGATAACCGAGGGGTTCCAGCACAGTGCTTGTTTTCCAGACGAGAAGTCCTAGCAGAACTGTTCAACTGATGTTGGCCTTTCTTTCACTGTCTGTACCTCTGTGGATATATTTAACGTGCTTATCCTAACGCACAAGGGAGGAGTGGCTGTGGTGGGTTGCTAGGAATGCAGTATGGCCATGTGCACTGAAGACTGCATTTTCAGCCTAGCTGTGAACTGTGCCTTGCTGCTTGCGTTGGAAAGTTCAAAGTGGGGTGGGTGTGGAGATAGTCTCATTGCTTGGGACCTTAAAGATTTTTTGCATCTTGTTTTCCTGATACTTTCTGAATGTTCTGTTTTTCAACAAGAATATAACAAGAAAAGACTGCAGAGTTTGCTTAATAAATGTAAAGATATTTTATGCCTTTTAAGATTCCTTTCTGATTCTAGCAGAGCCCTAATCTATGCAGCTTGTCTCTTAATTTAGTTGAATTTTAAAAAACTACTAAGTACCAGCTGACACCAATTCAGTGAGGCACTTTGGCCTTTGAGAGAGCAACTGGCTTTGACTCTTAGGCACTGATTGTCTAAATGTTTGATAAGTGTGTGATTTGTGATGGGGTGGAGGAAAGGATCCTGATACGTAATTGTAGAGAAAACAGTTAAAACCTAGTTGTACTTTCTCCCAGCAGATCTCACTTTTCAGAGAGGGTGGTTATGCTATTTCCTGCTGAGCTATGTAGGGAGAAAATTTAGATCAGCAGTTAAGGCAGTTGGATGAGATGATCATTGCAGGTCCCTTCCAACTGAAATGTTCTATCACCTCATGTGCCAGTGGTGGGGTTGAGAATAGGAGCCAGGAGCTGACAGTCTAGTCCAGGGTTTTCATGTGCTTGTTTCTGTCAGAGTTGAGTTTCATTCCTAATTTCTTAGGGATATGAGGTGTATCGAGTTTTAATTTCAGACTATTCAGAGGAGTGAATAAATTTCAGAATCTCCACTTTAACTATTAATAGCAGTGTGAGTTGCCTTGCATTTATTCAGTTTTAAATGTGCATTAGGATTTCTCTTGGTTGGTAGACATGTGTAGTTCTGCAGTGATGGAGAAAGCTCCCCCACTGGCCCTTGGTCCTGAGAACAGCTGTTCAGAGGCACCAGCTGCTTTGGGTGCAGTTTAGTGGCCTTTTAGTGTTTTGCTTTAACTGATCAGTCCTTTGTTTTCTTATATGATGCTGAAGTCAACTGAGTCCTCGATAGCACTGGGGTCAAAAGAGCACAGGCATGAGTACACTCCAGCACCCCATAGCTGGGGGATTCACACACTGCACAGTGATTCTCTGACATGCAGGTTATCCCTCACAGTGTCAGCTGGATTGGGAAAAGCAGTCAAGGGAAGTGAAGGAGAACTGGAGAGCACTGGGGGAGCTGGCAGGAGGGTCTCGTGGCACTGGAGGAGTGGGAAGAGTGAGTGGGAGAAGAGTTCCTGAGTGGGAGGGAGTGGCCAAGGCAGGCAGGCAGGATTAGAGCTGTGCAGTGGGAAGCAAATCCCAAAGGTGGCATGGAGGGGGTGGCTGGAGGAGTGGATAAAATGTCCCGGCTGTGAGACCGGAGTGAGGATGACTCAGCTTGGCTGGGGAGCTGTGGGCCTGAGCCATGAGCTCACGGACGCGGGTTGCGTACCAAGCACGGCCAGCCCCGCTGCCCACAGCGCTGTGGGGACACAGCACAGCCCAGATTAATGACCTTGTTGAAAAGCAGGAGGTGACCTCTGCCATGTAAGGGATCAGTCCTGAATTCGGTGAAGGGCTAAGGGTGATTTATAGAGCTTCCTGCTCAGGATCAGGAGCCCTTGTTTACAGCCTATTGGTATGAACTTGACCCAAAAATGCTTCTTAAAAAATGTGACTTCCTAGTGTAAGTAGACCTGCCAACTACAGAAGTTAAATGGAGAAGCTGGGAATGATGGTATTTACGTGTACTATCTAACTTTATAAACACCCTGAGTACCTCTGTTTTTCAATTACAAGCTCTGTTGTAGTAGGCTTTCAAAGTAAAGTTTGTTAAACCTTTCCAACTGAACTTGAATTGATGTTTTTTCCTGTTCTAGTGAAACAAAACCCAGTGCCTTGGAGTTCACATGTATGAAAGTCTGTGCTAAGGCTCACAAAGAGCATGAATTGCACTGCAGGGGAGCTTAAAAGTGGATCTACTTACATGTAGGCAGAAAAAATCAGAATGACTGAAGTAGTCTGAGAAGTGATCAAGGGGAGTATAGGAGAACATAAACAAGTCAGCCTGGCTTGCAAGTAGATGGGTATTTAAATAGATGAGTATTTAAGATGACATGTAAAAGCCTGCAGGGTAACAGCATGGGACTGTTAGAGAAAAAGCCTGGAGTGACAGGAGAAATTTGGCTGCTGTGAAAGGGGAGAAGGTCTGGGCGCTGAGGCAGCCTGGGGCTGGCCACTCCTGAATGTTCTCCCCAGAATGGGACAACATCTGCAGGACAATGAAATGATGGTGTTTCAGTGCTCCTACCATGACAAAAATGATTTCATGATTTAGTGGAGACAGAACAAAAGCAGACATGCAAGAAAATCAACAGCAGTTATCCTAGAAGTTTTGCTGTTACTTGAAAGATTGTGAAGGGGAAGAGAAAATACTGTATTTGTGAGTTATTTTCCTCTAATTTGTACTTTTCTGTTGCCATAACATTGTTCCTTTGCATCTCCTTAGTGAATGTTAGCATGTAAAAGCACTTAAGGATCTTTAAAACTGGAGGGGTAAGCATTGTGCAAGGCGTAGCCAGAAAGAAAAAGATTTGCTGGATGCCTTAAGTTATATTTTTAAGTGATTTGCTATTATTATTTTTGGAGGACCTCTCTGTGTTCTGTTGTTTTTCTCATTTTGGCAGTGCTATGGGCTGCAATCCTGAGAATTTATAAGTGGCCAGCCTAGCTCTTAGCTTCCAAGATTTACTGAAAGTTAAAAGGAGGGAATTCATGAAGACCTGGTATGAGCTTTAAAATATCACAAAAGCTGTTGAGCTTCTTTTTCAGTTTCAGAGGAGATGTTTGTTTCAGAGGAGATGTTTAAAATGTTAATATATATACTTGTAAATGCTTCCTGCTGACTTGTTAGTTCAAAGAGTATTTACATTTGTGTATAATGATATTTGTAGCAAACAGGTCTGTGGAGAAATCTTGATTTCAATAAATAGAGTACCATGGTATTCTAAGAATTTATGCTTTAATTAGGGGACTTCTCGATGTAATATTTTCAGCTGATGTAAAACACATAATTCAGCATTTTTTTTATTCAAAGCTGAAGACAGAAAATATATTGCCCTGGAGGATGTATTAAAAATACATTGTTATAAAAGAGAATAGTTTGACTACACGATTGTATTTGAATACTCTAGTGCTAAACCATCAAGAGTCTCAGAGCTATTGGTGAGGACACAAATTTGCTCCTGGAGGCTGTGCCACCTTGAGCCCTGGCAGCCCTTTACTTCTCCCTGTTAGTTTCAGCCCTCCTCTCCCCTGTGTGCCACCCTCTCCATTGTCAAAAAGCACGGATCTATGTAGCTTCACAATGAACTGAACCAAACAACGGGCTTTTTCTGTTCCCTGTGGGGCTGGTTTTTGGCTGGATCAGTTCCCCACTGTGCTTCCCTCTCCATCTCTGTGTCAGACCTTGTGCAAGCACAATAGAAGGGGTGGCATGAGAGGAGGAATGAGTGGCTGGGAGGGGGCTCGTTTGCTTAAACGAGCTGTACCAGAACTCAGAGCATGTCCCAAATTTTACTCGGTCTCTGTCTCCCCCAAGCATCCTCATGGAAGCTGAACTCTTACATTCATCTCCTATTTCCTGATAAGGAAAAAGGCAGCCCAACCTCTTACAAATGAAACACATCTCTGCTATCTGCCCTCTTTGTGAGAACTGGAAACCTTCCTGCATTCAGCTCATCCCACAAAAATGCTCTGGAGCTTTCTTAGTGTTTCTTGAAGCAGACTGGGTAGTGCTCCATGCCACTGGGTTTGTGTGGTTGGCCTGGCTGGAGGCCAGGAATGAGCTGGGCCCCTTGTCTGGCCAAACA